CCCTTGGAGGAGGCGGGAGGCGGGGCCCGAGCAGCGGCCTCGGCCTGGGAGACATGGTGGGGACCTTACCTCCCAGCCCTCCCCGTTGTCCCCGAAGTCCTTCCGCTGGGTGGACGCGAGGAACTCCTCCAGGGTCACGAGGCGGTCCTGGTTGGTGTCCACCTGGGAGCCCGGGACGGGTCAGCCACAGAGCTGGGCCCCCCAACCTGCCCCCCTCCCCCTCCAGGGCCGGATCCCCCTCACATTCTTCATCACGTGCTCCCGCATGCGCAGCCGCTCCTCCTCCATCTCCCGCATGTCATCCTCCTCATTCTTCGGGTCATACACCTTCTCCAGCTGCAGAGGCCAGCGGGAGGCGGGGCAGGTTTAGGCCGGGGTAACCTCTCTCCCAAGCCGCTCCACCTCCCCACCCCAGCTGACGCCATTGGCCCTTGGGGCACCCTGACATTCTTGGCAGCCTTTTTTTTTTTTTTTTTATCTCTTTGCCCCTGGGGCTGCTGGGAGTTGTAGTTTTCCCTGAACTTACCTCCTGGGGGGCTAAGGAAGGATCACATGGCTGATCTGGGCATCCCCTGCAACCAGGGCTTCCCGAAACTCACCTCCTTGGTGAAGAGGGCCTCCAGCTCCTGCTCATCCAGGACACCATCACTGTTGATATCTGAGGGGAGACGACACATATCTTAGGGGACTGAGGATGGGGGCGGGGGGGTTTCAGGTCCCCGAGGGACCTGCTGGAGAAGGAATCTGGGCTGATACGGGATCTGTTTTAGAGAATGGGTAACAAGTCTCCAATGGTAGAATGGTGGCCTCCAGCGTTAGTGCCCCCCAGGCCTGCTGCTCGGACAGTCCATTCCCTTCTAACCAGGGTCCCAAGAATGGAGCAGATGAAGGTGGGACCGCTGTCATGCAGGATGCCTTGATCCCTAGCACCTGGTGACATGGGCCAGGATCAGGCCCTCTGTGTACAGGATCCTGGTGTTTCGGGGGCCTCTGCCTCCCAGAGAGCCAGGCCAGGGCCAACTCCAGGTGCCAGAGGAGCCGGTCGCTGCTAACCCAGCTCATACAGCGCATGGGCTATGCTCTCTGCTCCACCTCCTCTGCTCACTCAGGCCAGCACCCGCACTCATCCTGCTGAGGTGGCCGGAACCCCTGACCCTGCAAAACCAGTGGTTAATTTTCAGTCCACGTCTAACTTGACTCTGCCTGTGGTTTCCAGAACATCATTCTCTCCTCCCCAGCTCCCCCTCTCTCCCTTGCTGGCTTCCTCGTCCTCCTGACGTCCACACCTTGGTACATCCACGGGCTCAGGCCCGGGGCCTCGTCTCTGTCTAGTCTTCAGATCTGTTCAATAAGGGAGCCGCTAGCCACATGGGCTGTTAAATTTAAATAGATTAATATTAAATAAGATAAAAATTTCAGTTTATTGCCCTGGCCGGGTTGCTCAGTTGGTGAGAGCATCATCCTGATACGCCAAGGTTGTGGGTTTGATCCCTGGGTAGGGCACATACAAGAAACCACTGAATGCATAAATATATGGAACAACAAATCAGCATTTCTCTCTCTCTCTCTCTCTCTCTTTCTTAATTCAATAAATAAAAATTGAAACAAAAATTCAGCTTATCAGCCTACTTGCTACAAGTCAAATGGTGAATAGCCATATGTGGCTTTCCATCATTATAAAGAGAGTGCTATTTTTTTTAAAAAAAATTATTGATTTTTAGAGAGAGGAAGGGAGAGAGAAACATCAATGTGAGAGCGAGACATTGATCAGCTGCCTCCTGGATGCCCCCTACTGGGGACTGAGCCCACAACACAGGCGTGTGCTCTGACTGGGAATGGAACTGGCAACCTTTTGATGCGCAGGATGACCCCTAACCAACTGAGCCACAACAGCCAGGGCACAAAGCGAGTGCTCTTGGCCAGCACTTTCTTGGATGTTTCCTCCAGTCCCCCAGCCTTCCATTCCATCCATAAGCGGCCTCCACACCTGAATATCCAACTGTCTACTCTTCATCTCCATGCACATGTCTACCAGCCGTCTCTAATGTAACGGAAACCCCGTCCCCGATCTGCCCTGCCAAACATGCTTGCTCTTTCCATTCAGTTTTTCCAGTTTCTCAGGCCAAATACCTTGCAGTCACCCTTGACCCCTTTGTTCCTTCATAACTCTAATCCGGTCCATCTGCAAGTCGTACTAGCTTGACCTGAAAGATGAACCCAGAAACGGATCACCCTTCCTTCCGGTGGTCCAGCCACCGGCACCTCATGCTCTCTAAGTGGGCTCCTGGCTTTGGCCCTCACACCTACAGTCTGTCCTTGACACAGAAGCCAGATGGGAGTCTGCCAACCTAATTTAAGGCAGAGGGTATCAGTCCACTGCTCAAAGCCTTTTTGTGGCGTCACATGACACAATAAAGTCTAAATTCCTTACCCTGGCTGTGACCTTGGATAGACCAAGCTCACTCTTCTTGTGCTTGCTGTTCCCTCTACCTACAATGCTCTTCCTGCAAATCTCTGCAAGCCGCAGCCCCTCAGTCACTGAGGTCTTTGTGCAAATCTCAACTCTCTAGAACCGTGTGGTCCAACACAGCAGTCACTAGCCACATGGGGCAAATTAATTCCAATCAATAACCATCTAATTAAAGTCTCATTTCCTTGACATTATGTCACAAAAAGACAAATACTGTGTGATTTTACTTATTTGACTACTCTCCACAGCTAGAGTAGTCAAATTCATAGAGACAGAAATAAGAATAGAAGGTACTGGAAGCTGGGGGGATGGGTAATGGGAAGTTATCTATATATATAAAAGGCTAAGTAACTGGTCAGTTGCTATGACACACACTGACCACCAGGGGGCATATGCTCAATGCAGGAGCTGCTGAGGGACAGCAACTTTGCAGAGTGCCCTCTTGCTCTCTCGCTCTCTGGGACCCCTCGGGGGATGTCGGACTGCCGGTTTTGGCCCGATCCCCACAGGCCAGGCCAAGGGCCCCAACGGTGCACAAATCTGTGCACTGGGCCTCCGGTTGATTCAAGTTTCGGTTTCACAAGGACCAGTTACACAGCAATGGGAATGTAGTTAACATACTGAACTGGACACTTAAAGATAGCTGAGAAGGGAAATTTTATGTTACGTGTGTTTTACCAGACTCACAAGTCTTAAAAAATTTACCGACTCTAAGGACACAATTCCTTCGTTGTAAGAGCCACATTTCAAGTGCTGCATGGTCACGTGGGGCTGGTGGCTGCTGTACAAAGACCATTTGTATTTCCATTGGTGTGGAAGATTCTACTAGAAAA